ATATATATATATATATATATATTAGTGACCGTACAGAAGGAAGAAGAAGTTGTTCATATCAAGAAGATTATAGGAAACACAGTCTTGTTGCATCCAATGTGTTTAGACTTTGATGTCTGATCCAATGTGTTTAGTCTTCTAATGCCTGTGGATGAGTACACCCTGTACCCCCAGCTGTTGACTATCAAGCACGAGATTGTTATACTACCATTGCAGCGAAGGCCACGCCTGTACATGTATAAGAATACCACACTGCCTGCACTCATTGCACTCATGTGTACTCTCCTGCAGACTGCTTGCACTCTGTATGACCTGTACCTTCAAAGCTTTGAATAAAACAAGACAAAGACAACTCAGACTTCTGGACCTTATGAAGATCATAGCAAAAATTTCCACAACAATACAGTTGTGCACAGTGGGCCAATATTATCGAACATCCTTAGAAAAAAAACAATAACATTGGCTGATACCGATGTGGTCGCTGATATATCGTGCATCATTAACTTTATTCATTTAGAACTTTTCAAGGTTGCGTACAAAATGGTTTCCAGGTTAAAATCAGAGGCCCCGGGAACCATAACTAAAAACACATGGTCAGATCTAGTTTTCAGTCTGGTGAGTGGAACAGGTTTTGATCTTTGGGGTCTGACTGGACTGGTAGGGGTAAGAAGTTCTTTAATGTCATCTGGAGCCATGGCTTTGTAAGTAATAAACACAAACTTAAACTGTATTCTAAACTGAATTGGCAACCAGTGCAGTAATGCTGAAATTAAAGTAATATGACAGAACCTAGAAGAATAGAATAGAATAGAATAGAATAGAATAGAATAGAATAGAATAGAATAGAATAGAACTTCATTGATCCCTTTGGTGCAAACCTCAGGGATACTGATGATAAGTTTATGGCTGCTAGTTATGGATAACTGTGAACAGAGTTGAAGCAGGTAAAGAGCTTTATAGTAGTCCTGGTGTGATGGTACAAAAGCATGTATGACTTTTTCTGAGCATGTGTCATATCTGTAGGGTGTTTCGTAATTGTTCAAGACAAGCTGGAATGACATTTCCAGTATGCTGCTCAATAATAAGTAGCTAGCAGATGTTTTTCCAAGGTTCTTTGCACCAACATAAGTGAGCAAAAGGGACAACTGCATCTGAGATTGTGAGGTTTGGGCTAAAAATCACCAAAAAAGAAACAACATCTTCCTTTTTTGGAATATTTTTATTTTTTATATCTTAGGAAGATAGCTGCATGCAGTCCTTTATATTTAACGACGGATTGTGAAGCACGTGGTTTAAATGAGAGATATAACTAGTGTAGCCAGGTAACAGTGAAACAAGATGTGCTGCTGAATAACATGTCCAAGAGCTGAACAGTGACAATAAAAGTAGTCCTCATGCTAGCTGCTGAAGAGTTTAAATCAGAAATTGAGAAAAGTCCTATTTCCCAGGTGAGAACCACTCAAGTGCAACTCTAATGGCTCCTGCCCATTTCGTCACACTCAATGAAAATATTGCACTCTGTGGTGTAAGAGAGTGCACAGAAGTCCACAGCACAAAGGCTGAGCAGTGTTCAGAGTCTGTAGCCAGTATTATGTTACTTATCATTAAACAACAAGACTATTTACCAAGTATTTCAGAACAAGGTCTAAAAGGATGAATCCCATTGTGGTCCAAAGCCTGAGTTGTGTCCTGAAGCTGCTTTCAAATGTAAAACTCAGTCTCAGCGTAATTCTGTCATTACGACAGGTACAGGGCAAGAGACTAAATCATGCCTCACTCATTCACTACAGTGAAAAAAGCTCATTTCCTGCAGCACATGCCATCCTGAGGAGTCAATGAAGGTACATTCTGTTCTCTTGTTTTCTACTCAATGTGTTCTCTCAACCAGGAAACTGCACTGAAAAACACCTGCAATGGAACACCTGCACCAGTGGGGTAAAAAAGTCTACTGGTCCTTTGACATGACACACTTGACAACCAAAGTTCTGAAGGTCCAGCTTAATCATCTGATGAATTAATGATCTTGTCTTATACTGAACAACAGAATCAGCAGTGAGTAATGTCTGCTCTCACAGCCTATAATTTAAATACAATGGTATCATACAACTGGTACAATGCATTCATTCAGGAAAAGCCTGATGAGAGAAGCAAAAGATCTAGCGACAGATCTAGCATTATTAAAGATGACCCCACACTTGAGAATGAGTGCCAGAATGTCCTGGTCTCTGCTTCTTTGATTTATCTTAAAATAGCTCTGATGAGCTGAAATACCCTTCTAACATCACGATAAATGTGTATTTGTCCATTGATCTTTAAGCTTTGCTCATCAATGAATATTGAGTATGGCAGTTTAAACTTTTTTTTTTTCATTTTCATTCATTTTAAGCTTAGAATGAGCTAACATGAATATAACTAAAGAATAATAAACTCTCAAAATAAAGAGATTCAATTAATATTTAAGCAGATAAATAAAAAATATGTAAGCAGAACTACAGAAAACTAAATACAGAGGACATTTACTTGTTTTTTTGTTTGTTTTTTACTTAGTCCTGAAGCAGATTAACTGAATGAACCCATTTCCTATTGATGAATTTTAAGTTTAAAAGTTTAACAGAGTGCAATTTTTAAATTCAGTAATGTAAAAGTGAGCAGTTGGATGAGATTCCCAAAATTTCTACTTAAACCATAGCAAGACGCCCCATGAAGAACAATGTGGAGTGTCTGGTAAAGTATAAATATACGCTGAATATCAATATAACACGTAGACAAGACTACAACTTTTCTATTAGAAAACTAAATATAAAATGTTCCCCCATAAATTGGGGAAGATGCCCCCCCCCCCGGCTGGAGAATCTTACCCAATAAGTACTTTTGATCAATACTAACTTGTAACTTATGCATAAAATTAACTTTTTTTTCTTTTTTCTTTTTTTTTTAACGGTGATGTTGATTCGACTTCACATACTAAACAAATGTTAAATAATACATTCACAACACACATTAGAGACTACTTTCGATTTGTGATCTTTTTAATGCTTTGATTATTGCCAATTACTTTTGAATTGATGAGCCTCAGGCAAAAGTTCAAACTTTACATTAACTGTATTATCCTTGATATTGAAATTAAAGACATAAAAATAATGTTATATCACCATGGACACTTAGCAAGGGCGTCATTGAGGGGTCATCTTTTCCCTCAACAAAAAAAGTCCTACTCTTACTTTTTTGCACATTGCAAATTTAAAAAGCTTTTTTTTGTTCAAGCAAATGGATTACTCTCCATACGACTCATGTAGACGGTAAAGAAAAGCTTATGTATACGTATATTCATAGAAGAGTTTTTTTGAAATTGTACTGTCAAAATGTTACCCTAACTTACCCCAAAACTGATTTTAATTCTATTTTAAAATTATCATCCCAGAAAAGACCTGAAATTAAAATATCAATCTCTCTTTCTATATATATATATATATGTTTCTCCATTATATAAATTTCTTACCTAGGTGTGTGCTGTAGATATGAAAGTGTTTTCAGTTGCATTTGCCTTTCTATGTCTTTTCTCTCACTTCTTACTTTTTTTTTGACAGTGCGATGAATTGGAACTAGTCAAAGCCGTTTAACATATTCTTTGTATTCACATATATATATATATATATATATTCACAAGTACAGACTGTGTGTTTTAGTATTTTATTTTTTCAGTTTGGTGCTGTATTACGTCCCTGTGACGATGATCACATGCGGAACAGACGTCGACCAATCACATCGCTATAAAAGTGAAAAAAACCGTACTACACTATGCGTCTCTACTGCGCAGACTCACGCACGGAGGAAGAGCCAGGGCTCACGTCCCTCTGAAGATTTTACATCTCCTTAAAAAGGTAGAAAAAACGTCACTTTGTCGTATCGTTCTTGGGCTTCTCAATGGTCCCGACTGTAGTTAACATTTTCATCATTGGCTGTCTGTCTGTAAAAAGCCAGCGCGCCGTCGCCACTCTTTTTCTGCGTTTTAGTTACGTTGTTATGCTAACCGGCAAAAGCTAGCTAATCCAGCTAACGTTACCCAGTAGTAGTTAGCTTGGCACCTTCCTCTAAAAGCTAACGTCAGCTTTTGTTTCATTCGGCACCTCTGGCTCCGCTCGTTTGACTTTGATCCATCACATTCAGACATGCACGCTATGAAAAGCTTGATTGCACGTTGCACACAAGACAAAATAAGGAAAATGTATATCTTACATGTGATCAGGTATAATATCTAACGTTGCCAGGTTAGATTACCAAGTGAACACTGTCTTTATTGACACTGAAAAACAGATGAAATGTAGTGGTTATCGTTCATAAACCAGTGCACTCAATAACTACATAGTTATATTCACCCACTGAAGCAAGACAATGTGCTGCACATAATGCATTAAAACGTTAATAGCAGCAAATATTACACAACTAAACGTTATTGCACTAATTTAAGTCATGAAAACGATTTTAAAGGATGTTGTGGGGTAGAAATAGGAAAAGAATCGGCAGGTTAAATCCAAAGTATATAGTTAGGATGCTTTGTGGCAAACATTTGAGTTACAATCTTAAGTACGGTAAGCAGACCACGAGCAGATAAAGTGGTAGGGAAACAAAGATGTGCTTTAGTAAGTTTTGTAAAAGTTTCTAGAAAAAGCAGTTGTAAAAGAAACACTTCATGGCACTGTTGTGGGTGACTTTACAATACATTTTACCATTAAGAAAAAGGGGGTTTTAGGTTCCCTTTCCCTTGTGTCCCATGTGTTGTATCCTACAAAGTAGTGGGAGGGCAGTAGGAATGTGCTTTAATAAACATGCTACTGTGCTTGAATTTCATAATTCATACCTGGTTTTGATTATAACTATTCACAGCTTTGAAAATTGTAAACCTTTGTTTATTTACAATTACTCAAAGGATGGATATAAATTCATACCGTTTTGTTTTTATCTGAATTTAGGTCTATATTTATTTTCCTTGCATCAGCTCTTAGGAGCTCATCATCACCGGTAAAGCTGTATAAGCATCGGGTTGACGGGATTGAAGGAAGCGGCGCGTCGTACGGGGAGCTGCCTGAAATCGCCATGAGTTACAAACCAATTGCCCCTGCGCCATCTGGCTCCAACCACACTCCGCCAGGTACTCTGAGCCTTAATGCTGGCCTGCTGTTATATTCTCTATGTTGTTAATAGTAAGCATTTTACACCATGACCATGAAAGTAATTTGGTCAGCAGTGCAGTCAATTTTATCTTAGCCAGTGTGACAGTGCAGCACCATATATTATCATACTGTGGTCATGGTAACTGATGATAAAACCAGAGGTACTCATCACATTAAGTGGGAGAACATTAAAGATACTCATGGTTGTATTCATATTGAATGTTAATTGTGGTGAGTGTCCTTGTTATAGAATTGATAAAACATTCCAAGGTGTTCTTAGTGTGAAACAATAATGACCCCTGCTTATTTGTAGTCAGCAAATTTGACAGTGAATTATTATTATTATTTTTTACCTTATATAGAATAAATAGAATGTTTCAGAATGAAAGTTTGTTGTTGTTATATATTGTTAGAGGATTATATCTGTTCTTCTGTCCAGGCTCCTCTGTGCCCTCTCCATCTCTCCCCTCATCGTCCAGCTTCAGGCCAGCTTTCAGTGACTTCGGCCCACCCTCCATGGGCTTTGTTCAGGTACATCTGCACTACTACTTTAATAAAAAATATTGATGTTTTTTAATAGAGTAGGGCAATTGCCATTATTGATTTTTCCACCACTTTGTCATTTCTCAGGCTAAGGTTGTATAGCATCTGTAAATAATAACAATAATTAACTGTGCTGTACAGAGATATTTTAGGTTTGTTTTATTTCTGCACAACCAACAGAAAGACAGAAAAGAGTCAAGACTCACTTAGTAGTTGAGTTGACCTTTTACAAAATTCAAATATACAACAGACTTGATGAAAAAAGATGCCTGTGTCAGTCAATTTGAGATTTTCAGGTGTTTTAAGTGGCTGCACTGACACATGCTTGTCTGTATTATCCAATTATTTCATGCCAATGCTGTATTAATGAAGTGCAGTAAATATTGACTGTACCTGAAGGCTGTTCCTGTCAGTCAGATGCAGGCATGTTGCTTACTTGAGAATAGTGCGATGACCTAAAGGGTGGCTTGACTCCTCGCTTGATTGAAGTGCATGTAAATAAAAAAAACAACAACACGTTACTACAGCTCTGAATGCATGGCACTGTTGCAGGATTTAGATGGAAACAGTCATGTTCCTGTAAGGCACATTGATCGATACATCAAGTCCTATGCTTTCCTCTCAGTCTACAGTCGCATATATGCTAGTTTCAGGAGTCTACATTTTTCATTGCAGTTTCGCTCCATGTGTGATTGAATTTCCAGTTGTGACAAGCCTTCTTTTCTTTATATGTACAGCCTGTCAAAGTGTCCCAAGGGTCCACCTACAGTGAGCTCCTGTCTGTCATCGAGGAGATGAGTCGTGAGATCAGGCCTACGTATGCTGGCAGCAAGAGCGCTATGGAGAGGCTAAAGAGAGGTATCTTGAACTTGTCATAAACATATCGAAATGTGTCATTGTGATGGAACATACCTGTTTCAGAACAAGTCAAAAAAAATATGTATCATGAATACTAAATCCATATCCTGTAAGTGGTGGCGTGTTCTGACTGTACTTTCTGTGCTTTTATTTTCTAAATCAGACCCCAATTTTTGTATTTGAGGTTGACTCAGACTGGCAAAACTTCTATTTATTGTTTTTGCCATAATGTGTTTATCCTGTTTTTAAGTAAACCTTGTGTTTGTCTTCAGGTATAATCCACGCCCGTGCACTGGTCAGGGAGTGTCTTGCAGAGACGGAGAGAAGCGCCCGCACATAACCTTTTGGGACAAATCCCTTCACCTGCCACTCTTTCCCTGTAGAAGCCTGCCCTCATCACGATCTCCACTTTATGCTTTACAACCATTTTTTATCCTCCCACCTCGTGGTTTCTTTGCTGCCGTTTTAAAGGTGCATTATGTCCCTCTTGTGTCTGCTGTTACTGTATTTCACGATGCCCATTTTGTTAATGACGACACTTTCTGCGACTTGTGCAGCGTGCGCAAAATGAAGTTTTATACCTATTTTAAAAGAAGAGAGTGGGGAATTTCAGCACATTTTTAAGTCAAACTATGGGTAAAAACCTTAGTAAAATGGTTGGGAATATTTATATTATTCTTTGTTCAATAATTGACCAAGAAAGTTGGCTTTTTTTAAATGATGAAATCAGTGTTCACACTGCACTGACCCTCCAGTGTATTTTTTGTTAATCTGATCATCTTGAATATACATCTTTTCCATTCACCCTTGCTTTGTTTTCATCCTACTTTGTAGTGTAGACACACATTAGATGTTTCTCATTCCCAAGAACTCTGTACATCTCAAGTCAGTTTGTTAGTATGGAAATTTTGTAAACCAGATTTTTGCAGTTCGGTATGTATATCTTAATTAAATAACAGGAGAAAAAAAAAAGTGTTTTTTGTATTATTTTTTTTTAAATCAGTTATGAAGCATTAGTTGGGTTGCTAAGGAATTGTGGGCAGATTTTGTCTATTACAAATATCGTGACTGATGGGAATCCTTTCTATGGAATGGTTTGTGGTTGATCCTAAATGTTTGTTATTGGCCTTGGAAGCAGCCGTTGACAAAAAAAAAAAAAAGAGAGAAAAACTCTAAACACAAAGTTTACTGGAAACCTTTCAGGCACTTGATCTACTAATAAACACCACAGTATCTGAAAGCTTTGAAACTTTTAACACACACACACATTTTTTTTTCTTTCTAGGATTCTCAGGATTATCTAATCAATACCAGAGGCCTTAGGATTTCTTTCTGAAGGTATCCTACATTTAAAAAAAACAAAACAAATAAAAAAACAACAGTAACAATACAAACCTAAGGATAAACAAATTTATTTTCAATTACATAATCACAACCTCAGTAACATCTCACTTCAGACAAACCTGGGCCAAGGACCCACTGCTTCACATGAAGAATAGTGAAAAGCTCTTTCTAAGCAAGTGAAGGAGATTTTGTGGGTTACATCTTCACAAAAACAACATAAAGGTAGTATTACATACACAAAATATAAGTACATACAAGAAAGCAAAGACAACACAAGTTCATGTGTTTTATATAATGATTGTCACAGACAGTTCGGTTTCATGTCCCACCTACCACGCAGTGATGCTGTTTCTGCTGTGACCAGGACAGAAAAGTGGGCCTGGCGGTGCAGGGTAGGGGTATGCATTTGAGTACATGATGTCCCTCGTGCAAAAAAAAAAAAAAGGATTTTCTGAAGAGGATTTCTGTCTTGAATTGGACTCCACTGCAAACCTTGCTGCGCTGACTACAAGGAATTTTAGGGATTATCCAACAGCTTTGCACATATTTCAGAAAGCAAGATAACATGCTTAACCTACTTACGACCAATACTGTGGCAAACTGGTGTTTGCTGTATAAATTGCAGTTAAATTCATAATTAAATCAACAGAAATAAAATATTCTTATATCAAATCTTGTGAAAGCTCTTGCAAAGGAAAGAACATTAACATTCTTCCCTGACCAAGAATGTCAAAGTTTGTGAAACCTCATTAGGCTAAATGAAAAAAAAAAAAAACAGAATTCAGTGTTCCGTAAAATTGATGCACTGAATCAATGGGTCTGCTGACCAGTAGAGACCAAAGGTTTCTGTGGGGTTTTGAACATTCACAGCGGATGGATTTTAGCATGTTTTTATCAAAGCCCTAATTTGACATTTTGGCGGAGAGTATTTAGACGAATAAGGCAGGAATGCAATTTACGCTTGTGTGTGTGTGTGTGTGTGTCAAGGAAAGCAGAATGGCAGACAGTTTGGCTCGGGTGCATGGACAAAACTAAAACACCAGGGGTGTCTACTGGTTTCCTCCATCTTGAAATTCATAGGCATCCTCTTGTGTCCAACCCATTAAGAGTTTCAACCCTGTGAAGAGGAAGAAGACAAAAGGACACACTTCATTAAAATCTGCATTATAGCAAATAAGCTTCCCATTTCAAATTAGAATCTATCTGTCCATACAGATGATTAATGCAATTAGCAAAACTCAAACTGGACTGACTGTAGTGGCAGTGGCTGGTGGTGTGTTATAGTCAAACAGGCCCTTGTAGCGACCCTTTTCCTCCTTCTCCTTAGAGCGGATCCTCTCCTCCATGGTCCTCAGCTCCTTGGCCACAGACGGTCCCAGAGTGGGGTCCAGATCCAAAACCTTAGCAAAGTCTGCTCGTGCCTCTGCCTCATTCCACACTGCAGCATGGGCTTTAGCCCGCTTATAGAGGGCTTTTACATTGTCTGTTGGGAAAGGGAGGATGTAAAATTAAGTCACTAATCTGTGACAACATGGTAAATCTTTTATCAGACTATAATAACCCTGCAGGATTTGCAGCTCTGCAAACAACAAGGTGCAGTAAGTACATTACAGTGCACTCGCATGGCAGACTCGTAAGACATAACTTAGTTGTTGTGTGTGAGGGACAATCAGCTGTGAACATAGATAAATGGAGTCAACTAATCTATGTATAATCTATCAATAGAGTAGTCACAATATGCAGTGAAAATAGTTGTTTTCTAGTGGTGCCTCAATTCATAACTGGTGTCTTCTTAAACATTCTGACCATGTACTTTAATAATCGCTAATCGATTAACTGCCGTAAGAATTTATTTGATTGAAACTACATTAAACAACAAGGCAGAAGACGAGGGATATGCAGTCTGTCAGAAAATGTAGTTTTCCTGAGGTGCCTGATGCAACACCAAGTGAAGCCTCCTGCTGTTTAACGAGACAGAGTTACAGGTGTGTTTTCAGACCGCCCGCAACAGTTGCATAAAATGAGCGCACCTCCCTACCGTCTAACTGCTAACTGTGGCAATTAGACAGCACTTAAACTCTACAACTGTCTAGTTTAGCAAGAAACCAGAAGCTCATAATAATGCTAAACTAGTACATTCGTATGCTAACACCACAGGAGCTGAGTGTCTGTGAGCAGAGAGCAGCTGTAGTTGCCAACACTCAGGAGCAGCAGGATTCTGGCTCCAAGCTTCCAACATCAGACTAAACTGATCAAGATATCATTAACGCTCTGCTTGGCGCATAGTTACATGTTAGAGGCGGGAGTAAATACTGACAGATTTCTGGACTGACAAAGTTGCAGCAACAGTATTTATGAACATCTGTTTCAGCTGAGCAGCTGTTTGCAGAAGCTGGACTAAAGTTAACTACAGTAAACAAGTTGCTTCATCACATAGATCAATTATGAGGATTACGTTATATAAAGCTGCTGTGAAGAGATTAACATAACAGGTGGAAGACTGTAGCTCATTTGCTGTGTTTAATACTTTTGGATATTGTAACTGTTGAAAAGCAATCTTAAATTATTATTTTTTTGCCATATTCATTTAGAATTCATGTAACCTGATGTTTATGTTTTGGTGGTGAACATTTAGTGCCAGTGGTTTAAAATAGTTTTGTCAGCATATGGAGAAAAACATCCACTGTATTTCATTCATTTTAACGATTAATCAGCTATAGATTAGTAACATGGCCACCTACTGGTTGTGGAAATTTTTAACAATTTGCATCCCTAACTTTCACATCATACTTCTGTCCAAAATATTTCTCATTACATCTATCTATATGTAACAATTTCAGATCTGCTGATGTCGAAAAACATCAATGACGCTTGAAAGGATTAGCCTTGTAGGCCAATGTAATTATTTTTACCTGCAGCTATAAAGGATTAACAAATTAAAGAAAAAAACAACACAGAGAGTTGCCATACATTCTGGAAATGTATTGGGACACCTCAAGCCACCAGAACACTTTCACTAAACTTTGGCATATATTTTCTGAACTCTAGTGAGAATGTTTAGAGTAAAGTCTGAACATTTGACTGAATCGTCAGACACCATCCACCCAGATGGTATTCCTTAATGTAATGTTTTGATGGTGGTGGTGGAGAGCACAGTAAAGTGAAGCAGAGGCAATCAGTCATCTGTATGTTTTTTTTCTTTTACTTTTCTTCTCCTTCTTTATAATCACAGTTAATTCTAATCAGTGGTATCAGTTCTTGTATAGCATCAACAGCAAAGCCTTACTCTCATATTTGAAGATCAAGGAGGAGCAGTGTTCGATGACTTCATAGTACTGGCCCTGAAGTAACAGGCACTGACAATAGTTGAGAAGCAGTGGTGTGATCATATGGTCCAACTTTACCCATGCTTCATCTCCAGGATGCTCCTGAATGAAGAAACAAAAGTGGCACAGAAGAGATCAAAGCCATGAATCTTTCAAGTACAAAACTTAGTCAAGATATAAAGAAAAGAATCTCTTTTTGATTTATTCATGCTTACTATAATGAACTAGAAGGGATTAAGTGTCCTCTAACCTTCATCTGTAGATTTTTGAGGCAGGCAATGCCATTATAGTACTTCTCTGTGGCCTCCTTAATTTTGCCTTGTTTGAAGAGTGTGTTGCCTTCCTCGTGGATCTGAGGCACAAGGTCAAGTTTCTCTTTATCTGTCATAGCCCACACATCCAGCTGAAATGATCCAGGAGGAAGAACCTGTGCAGGAAAAAAAAAATGCTGAAAATGAGCTCTACCTTAACCAACAATAGCAACAAAACCCTGCCTTTACATCAAATAATCTCACAAAAAACATTTCACTGCATTAAATACTTTTGCTTTTAATATTTTAGATACATTTCCCTGATTTTCCTTAACTGACAATTTAAATGCAGTCATTTTACTTTCAATTGAGGATTTTCCACTACTTTGAACTCCTCTACGTTTTACTGCAATTTATGAGAATATTCTTGCAGTGACTCATGTCTTGGTGGTAGAGTAATACAGAAGAAGAAGAAATATTTGCCTACAGACGTGTACAGTACATCAAAGAGAAGTCTTTTCAAAAAAACTCTGAACTCTCAGTTAACCATTTCTCCTGCATGTTTGTACTTTGCAAATAAACTCTTTTGAGACCTCTGTGTCATACTGGACTACGTTATATACTGCTCCTGCTATACTTGCTAACATTAGACAACTGTTTTTGCTCAAATTAAAAACAGGACTTGAAAAAAAATGCATGTAGTTATTTATGCAAGATAACAAATAACACAAAAGTATAAAAATTCAGATATTGGGTTGGTCATATAATATATATATATATATATAAATAAACTAACACTCTGCCCAGAATGCAACCCAACACAGTAGCACTGCTGATATTAAACGATTGTTTCTCTCCTCACGGCTCACCTCCAGCAGCTCAATGGTGAAGACAAGAGACTGTGGATTGGCTTGAAGGTGATCCAGGTCTTTGTGCCCCAAAGAGTGATGGGAGTGGATCTGGGCAATACCGCAACAGTGCCTCTGGCCTTCCAGAGGATCCTTGCCAGCACTTATGTTTCTCAGGGACTGTGACACGAGTGGGTACAGGGATGTGTGCTGTGTAGTGACAAGACAGACAGATGCAAACAGCGTTGAGAAAAAAAACAAGACACCTATTCGTAAAACGTAATATCCTTAGATCACTAACCTTGGTGTCGCAAGTAAATTCTGCAACTTCGCTTTGTCTCATAGTAATGACCACTCTTTCCCATACAGCTAGTTTAAACTTCTTGCCCAAGATGAGCTCCATAGGTTTGCTGCAGCTCCCCATGGTTCTGGAGTCATCCAGCACGGTGCCATCACAGAGGCTGGTGCGGTAGTGAAAGACCACCTGGTCATCAAGGAAACAAAAGCCAGAGGATAAATAGTCTGATAAAACAATTATTGTGACACCACTGTTTTCAGGACACGAGATCGATGTAGCTTGTTTCAACCCCAAACAAGAGAAATCTGCACTCCTCTGACAGGCCTGGAGAGCGTCGACACTCCGGTGCATTATGACCAATCACTACAGAGGAAAATTGATTGACACGGTACGCGGACCAATTAGCATTCACAAACACAGGCCATCCTGTCCCGCCCCTATCTTTCCATCAGATGAAAAAAAAAGGGAAAAACGTGAACCAGACGAAAGAAGAACCCGAACCAAAGCTAATATTGTGTCATCACAAAGGCTGCGAAACTCTCAAGCGTATCAGCGGTGTCTGTGTAACGACGCAACGTGCTCGGAGAAACATTTTTCGATGTGACTGAGCTCTGTGTTAGCAAAGATTCAACCACTGATAGCATTAGCTAACGTGCCTCGTCGCATTCCTCAAGCTACTTCAGTGGGCCGAACTCAACCCACGCTGTATTTGACTCCTTAGTTTTACCTTAGTTCCATTGGGGAAGGTCGACAGCTCTCCTTTACCAGGGCTGATCAATTTCTTTTTAATTCCTTCTTCGAGAAGCTTGCGTGCCTCTTCCTCCATCCTTGACCGAGTCTCAGTTTACGACAATTGACGATGTTTCCCGAAGCCAGACGTGTCGTAGACGTCACTCGAGGCCTGGGCGTCGTTACGGCAGACAAGCAGAGAGAGGACAGTAACTTATACAGTCTATGGTAACAACAGCAAGACGTCACCTTCATCATTACCACAGTAACTAACAGAAAATGCAAAATATTTTGTAGTATTGCATTGTAATTCACGACAAAGTACATAATGAGGTCTTCACTTTTTTTCAAGGATGGCTTTTAATTAATATATATATTTTTTGCATCATTAGTAATTGAATGTTACCCAAGAATGTACTTAGGTATAATTCGGATACTTGTATTATTATACAAAACATAATAATTACACAGAAACAAGCATTTCTGTTGCCCAATGACCACATTTTCATGTTATTCATTTGTATTTTAACTTACTGAGTAGCATTGTTGAGTGCTTGACTTATACTTGCAACTGAGTATTTATAAATCAATTTACTGCTATTTTAAATTAAGGATTTGAATTCTTCTTCTACCACTTTGTATCAGAAATATAACATTGCAAGCAATGCTTGGGTTGAAATACTACAATGTGGCCAAACACAAGTTTAAGGGTCAGTTCACCCAAACTATAAAAATGATATATATGCTGTTTAGCCACAGCATTAAAACCAGCTGCCCAATACTGTATAGGGCCTCTGCCACAAGAATGTTGGCAGTGGATCTTTTGAGTGTTGTGGGTTGGGGGCCTCCATGGATTAGACCTGTTCCCAGACATCCAGCTGGTTTGGGTCTGGGGAGTGTAGAGGCCCAGTCAACACCTTGGGCTCTTGGTCGTGTTCCTTGAGGCAAGCCGGAGAAGTTCTTGTAGTGTGGCAGAGTGCATTTTCCTTTTCATGGAGCCTGCTGGCAGGGGGTGAGGGTGTGCTTGGTCTGAAACAATGTTTAGGTGACATCCACATCCCAGGTTTCCATACAGAACATCGGATTGTAACAAAATGATCAATTATTCATGTCACCTGTCAGTGGTTTCAATGTTGTGGCTGATCAGAGTATATATGAAAAAGACTTTCTGAATAAAAGGCTCAGGTTACTTTGGATAATCCAGAGCGCTTGTCCTGGAAGGCTTTCTATAAAGTAGATGGTCCACGTGAGCCTGTTGATGGTGTAACATCTTTGTACAAGTAATACCGTGTTAAAAAGATACAGATAAATCTGTCTCAGTCACTTTTGATGAAAGATTCATTTTTCCCGTCTTCCTCTGTCACTCTCCACATGCCTTATAACTGCATAATATAAGCACTGCAGGTATCAGGTAGTCAATTTAATTGCCGCTAGATTTCCAAATGTCAAATGTGCTGGTTTTAAAAAATTGACAAATTGACCACTGAAAGTCATTGTGACTCTGCTGGTTGCCTGTCCTACTGGAATGATAACTTCTTGGCACTCAGGGGTGAAGTAATGCTTTATTCAAAAAATAGCAGGGGTTTGTCTCCTAAGGACCTGAGAATGAAGACCGAAAATAAAGTACCATTATGTCGATAAATAGTATTGGCATTTCACATAAACATTCTTGTGCCTTAGCAGGTAGAAGAGCATAAGGCAAGCCAGTCATTTACGCCTCTCACACTTACACAGCAGGGAAAAAAACAGACGATTGCTGCTTCTGTGTATCAGACAGATAAATGTGCAGCTTTAACATCCCCTCCTGTCAAACCTACATAGGAATTATTTCATAGCATGTTTTAATTGGATTTTATTGTCACGTTAAAATTGGAAGCTCGTGCCCGTCTCTTTTATTGTTTGTACACAAACGGGTGTATAAATGTAAAGACATTAACTAGACAATAGATTAATAGGCGCAAAATAACATTTGCAGTTTCTAATAATACCATTATATAGTATCTTCAAAATGTATATGTACAGTTTATACTCTATGAATATTACAGGTCATATCTCTGTATGTTGCTGAGGTCAGTTGATATCATTTGAAGAAAGCCTTAAGTTTTTAGTGTTCATGTCATGGATTTGGATTATAAGGCTGCTTCTACAGAAGAATGATAAACTTAGCAATAAAATCAACAAGTGACAAACCTAAGCGATTTGTATACAACATCATTTTTATTTTAATCTGCTCTCAAACTTGAGTAAATGATAGGACCATCAGCAGAAGGCAATAGACAGCTTCATTCATCTGGATGTATATGCTGATCTGCTAGAGGGTTTGCATTTAAACTGCCTGCACAAATAGTTTGGTTTTAATTAGAATCTTTTCTAGATTCATATCCTGGTAACCTGGACAACTTCATGGATAAATTCAGCAATAATCATTCCTTCTCTTACTGTGTAAATTCAAATTTAGACCCAAGACAATCAAAAACAAGTAAATTCAATTCTATATTTTATTTTTGGCAAGTGATCATGATTTATGTAAGATAATGCACTCTAGGGAGGTGCATTAAAGGGATTATAGCCACACACTGTATGATTTTAGCACAATAAACTGCACAAACTTCCCCTCAGCCCTGAGCTTTTAAAGTCTTGGTTGAGCTGCAGGTTTGATCCCAGTTTGTAGGTTTACAGCAAAGCATGCTATGAACAACTTTCACTTTTCCAAACTGGGAAACTAACTCAGCTGACAGAAAGGAAAATATACAAATATTTTATTGTAATTTCACAGTCATTATTCACACAACATGGAAAACACAGGCAAGACCAATCCCCCATTGTTTTTTAAGTGTACACATACAGCAATGTCAGTTCATGTAGTGGAAACCTAGTCAAGGCACTGAGTGGTTGAAGTAGCAGTGGTCATTACAATGACAAGAAAAAACAACTGTGTGACAATATATTTTTGTTACATGTGACAAAATACAATTCATTTTAACAAAGCAAACACTGAAATGTAGTGAAAATGTAGTGTCTCATGAAATGTCATTTTTCAAAATAAGGTAGGTAGAACAATTTGAAGCCTCTTCTGCCTCGGACAGCACAGCTGATGTATATCACATGGTACACTGGGAGAAATACAGGGAATGACACTGTTTTTGTCAACAAGACAAAGTATGTGTTTACTGGAACAGCCAAGAGTCAAGTAAAAAAGTAGTAGGAACTAAATGAACAATTTACCTCCAGGGATGAAGAGAAGAAATCCAGGTACAAAGAAAATAGCACTTGAAACACCTGTAAGAAATTATATGTAAGCACCATACATTAAAGGAATACTTCAACACTTTGTGAATTAATAGGTTTATCAACTGTCTTGCCAGGAGTTATATAAGAAGTTTGATAGTGTTTTCTGTCTGTAAGTAAATATGACACTGTAGCTGGTCAGCTTGGCTGAGCACACAGACTGGAAGCACATGAAATCTAATGGACTGGGTCTGTCTGAGGCTAACAACATTAACATGCTGTCTGTCGCAATGTTTGACTTTAGTTACAAGGCTTTAAAAAACATCCAAAAAAGCCCCTTTCTCAGACGTCAAAACAGAAGTCACTGGAGTAAACGGGAACTGTGTATCATCTTCACATAGGCAAAATAACATATTTTTATTAAGATTTATGCTGTCAAGGAGCCTATCCCAGCTGACTTAGAGTGAAGGCAGGAGACACCCTGGACAGGTCCCAAGTCTATCACAGGGCTACACTTAGAGACAGACAACCAAGCACACTCACATTCACACCTACGGACAATTTAGAGTCACCAATTAACCTCAACATGTTTTTGGATCTTGTGGGAGGAAGCCAGAGAACCCGGAGAGAACCCACGCTGCATGGGGAGAGCATGCAAACTCCACACAGAAAGATCCCGGGTGTCCTCACCAGGACGCAAAGCGGCAAACTTCTTGCTGCGAGGCGACGGTGCTAACCACAGAGCCACCTTGCAGCCCCCTGGCAGAAACATTCAAAAGCTAAACTGCAAATTCAAAGGCAATAATTGAGCTGACTAATAAGCATATTATGAATAGCATCAATGCAGCTGTTAGGTCAGGCAGAAGATAAGCACGCACAGACAGATGAGTTAATAGGAGACAGAATGTTTAAGAAGGTATGACATTATATGTAACATTTGGATCATGAATTTATTATAGATGATATTAAAAAATGGACATAGCCACCGTGACAGTGCTCATTTGTTTGTGGACTAACGTTCTGAGGAATGAAGTTTGGAATTGGCTGTTGTCATCTTTTTCACACTGCACACGCTGCACTCATTTATTGTGCAAACCCAACTGCATTGTCTATTTTCCTCTAAATGGGAACATCATTTACAAAATGAACATCATGTTGTATTGAAGGCAACATTAAACCAGCGATTTAGACCATAAACTCACAAAGAAAACGTTTACTGAGGTAACAGATCAAGTGAGAGGTGGGTTAATTTTTTTCATATACGTCAATACAATCAGACTTCTTCTTACAAAAAACTAAGTTGCCCCCTGCTGGCCAGTCCAAAGAACGCAGCTTTAAGACACTTTCGCACTGGCTTCATTTTTCAGACTATGGAGGCTACGCCCATCCTTAATATACAATTTATGAAACTGAGCCATAATTTTGGGGTGTAGTTTGACATATAATAATGTCAACTCTGTCACAGAAGAAGGTCAGGATGTTTTCAAAGTCAATAAGTGAATGGTATTCAAGAGCAGGCTTAGAAGCAGTAATAAGGCAGCCAGTAGTTCTGAACATGACTCTAGGGTTATGGAAGTAAGCAGAAATAATATTAGAGAAATTAGTTTCTTCAGCAGATTTTATGACGTAAGTGTAGAGTAGCAGCTGCTCCTTCAGTCGTTGATGAAATGTAGTTAAATTTATCTCATCTGCACTCAGCCTACATTTTCTTTTCATGTCATAGGTGTGCCCATTTAGCTTATTAAGCCTATTTCCTGCTTGCCATTGGTCTGAGTCTGAGAGGAGCCACTCTATTCAGGAAAGCCAGACATAAATGATTAAACGTGCCTAAAAGAGAATGAAGAGAATAAAACAGATGGTTTTAGCTCAGTTGGAATGTAAAGATAAATTGGCTTAGGGTCTGTGATTGTATAAAGGGTAAATGATGAAAAACTAATGCTGAAGTGAGGTGTTGAATCCAATTCTCTTTGTAATCTGAAAATACTATCTTCTCTCAGTTGTACTGAGAGACCTAAAGTCGTTATTAGTAGTAACGCATGACTTTAGTCTATTCTAAATCGTCTAGGTCCAAGGTGTCTCTGGCCCAGCACCTGAATACCAACCCTCTGTTATAATACATTGACTGACAGTAGTCAATGATAACAGCCCTGAAAACTCAACACCGGGCACAAGTGCTGATTGGATTTTATGTAGTCATTTTTCATAGGTGATGATGATAAATATCATGAATTTTGAACCTCAGAGTTATCACTCATATAACCTTCTTTCTTTCTTTTTTATTTTTTTTTCCAAAGTTACTGCTGCAATTTGTTTTTTTCTTTGGCTTTTGTTTTTGCCCAGAGTTACTTCAGGATTAATTGTTAGCTCATCTTCCCTTTCAAGTTAATGTTCCTGTCTTGAATATTTACCATAAGAGTGTAATCATAATTACTAGACTTGAGGTGCTAGTTTTTAATGACATTAGTGAGATTTTAAATGGATTAATACATTAATATCAGGACCAAGAACATATTTATACTTAAAACACCCTAAACCTTGACGTTTGTCTGCATCAAGGACATTTGCCTTTTTCTGTTCAAAGAGAAGGCCACATGTCCAAGAGCCAAAATCATCATGCAAGACTAAGCTACCCCTCAGCAAACTAGAATACATCAGCGCCACTAACAGGCTCATTAGACCTTCACATGTAGATGCAGGCAGTAAGGAGGTGTGAGCTCATGGAAAACAAACCAATAACAAACCAATTACAATCATACAATCAGGTCTCAGTCAGCCTTGGCTAATCACATTTAGGAGAAAAAAAATCTAATCTTAGCAAATATGTCACTTATTAAGAGGTCTGACATTAAAATCTCAGTAGGCAGTGATTAGAGTGTATCTGGTTTGCAAGAAATGGAAAGTGTGTTAATATAAACCAGGTACTAGATGACTTCTTCTGTGCAGTTTAATCTGTCTGGTTTCTTTAATCTCCGCAGGACAAGTTGATAATCAAGATGTAAAGATAAAAATATATCTACATTTTGCTGTGTTTTGTCTGGTGAGTCACAAACAGTACCAAACTGACTTCTCATTTTGTATGTCTCTCTTTCGAAACATTCATGTAATCATAGTAAGCTAGGGTTAACGTATACACACCTTCCTCACACAAAAGCATCAGTATTTGGCAGAAGAAAAGTTAAAACCTGGAACAAACATTAATTAGAGACTTCAATGGTCCAAACTACAAACTAGCTATAAAAAGATTTCCCTGACAGCTATCAAGTAATATTGTTTGTGAAGCATGCTACTACAGGGTATATGTGTTGCTGACACCATTGTTAGTTTTGAAGGAAAGCCAGTTTATTTTGGACTTTAGGTATGTTCTTAAAGATCAAAAAATCATGATTCTCATCTATATTCTAAACCCTATAGGCCTGCTTGTCCTTCACACTTGTTTTTACAGCTCTGTTGTTTCATTGCAGTTGGAATGTAATCAAGAAGGATAGACTGAGAAACACTGGTCTGGATCAACAAAGGAACAATATATGACTGGTGCTTCTTGAATACCAACCAAAAGAATGTTGCACAGGGAGCCACCAAGCGAAGTTTGTGTGCAAACAAGACAAACATTCACAGACTCCAATAAAAACAAACAAACTTCTGAATTGTACCACTTAAACACACAAAGACATGTTATTATTATCTTAAATATAATTTCCATTTTGTTCATGCTTTGTGACTTTGTATTCCACTGTAATATTTATTTGTTTATGATTTGGAAAGTAGTTTAATTTAGGAGGGAAATGTTGGTTTCTTTTCTCATCTTTTTTCTTGTTTGCTTGCATTTGGACTAACGGACCTACTGTGTCATTTCTTGGCACAGAAATCAAAAACTAGCCGACGTTAACTGTTTCTCTTCCCTACCTGCATTTGGATTCAGCTGTATGACAACACCTGTGAAAATAAGAGCTAAACAGAAACAACACAAAAATATATTAGCGAGGATTGAAGATGACCCACGTTTATAAAGGTTTTAAAAACAATTCTTATTTCATCAACTCTGATATTCTTGTAAAAATCTGCTGTAATCAGTGGATCCGTTTGGAGACAAAGTTCACGGGGCAAAGTGCCAAACATGCCACTGACACAACACTAAGCAAACTACCTGCTGTAAAACCCTTGTGTTTATGTTAAAATAATGGAGTGTGGTTACAGATATATATGATAGGCATTTTAAGTCAAAACCATAATAAATAAATATTAAACAATCTTAAAAGAATGTGTTCTCTTTAGGAGAGCAGCGTATCCACAGAAGAACATTGTGGTTGAATGTTTTATATATAATGTAGAAAAAAACACCTGCACTTAACACTCACCAACTCCAATGATGAGGAGAAGGAATGAAGCAAGAACAACTCTTCTGTTTTTCTTAACCAGCGGATGAGACACCCACCTGAGCAACACATGTGGTTTTTAAGTAACTGTGTTTATTATCATTTCTCTGCGGGTATGCGTTTGAGAACTTTGAACTTACCCGCAGCAATGTGCAGAAAGTTGCGTAACAGAACTCAAGGTGCTGAAGGACCACTGAGAGCTGCAGTACGATAAAGTCGCAGGGTCACTGTGGAGAGGAAAGAGACTTTGTCTTACATTCAAAGAGCAGGCAAGCAAACAAAGAAATTAAAAAAAAAAAAAACGACAAAAAGACCTCTACCAATAGAACCCACCTGATTTTGAAGAAGTTATTGAAGGAGGAATTGCCACTGTTCCCCAAGGCATCTTCATTTTCCAGATTCTACAGAAACAGCATATGACAATGGACATGAAACAACTAAACTAAAAGCAACTTGTTGCACACACATACACGTGGTGCATGAAGGTGACGTACAGTCATCCTCAAATTTATAAATACCCTCCCATCAAAGAAGGAAAAAAACTGCTGTCACTGAAATAAGTTGAAATTGACAAAAGTAATAATAAACAAAAATGTAATGAAGTCATCACATTGCTTTTGAACTGTGGTTCAACAGAAATACTAAAAAAACAAACCAAAAAAAAAAAAAACAAGCAAACGAGCATGATGGGACCCGTAAACTAATATTTTGTTGAACAACCCTTTGAGAAAAGAATTCTGCACCTGTTGACAGGTATTTTGATTTTGGCCCACTGCTCATCAGCAAAGTGCTCTCATTTGTCCGGGACAGTTTTGTTTGTTTTTTTTAATTATTCTTTTCTACCACAATCCAAAAGCAATGTCTTATTTCACTAAATTAGAATTTAGCCATTTTTTATTTTTATTTATTTTTTTATTATTACTTTTTTCAGTTTCTAGTTATTTGAGTGGCTATTGTGAATTTTGCATTTTCTTTAATGGAAGGGTATGAATACATTTGAGGACGACTGTATACCTGATATTTCAGGTTACTGTGTTCAGGGGAGCTGGCCGCCGCAGGAGAGGGATGACTCTGAGGTTTAGAGAAAGTTAGAGGACCGAACGTCATCTCTCCTCCTCCCTCTCTGTCCTTCCATCCCTCCGTCTCTCCATCGGACACAGCTCCCTCCTCGTCTCCCTCCAGGACAAAGGCATCATCGATAGTGAACTGGGTTGCCATAGTGATTGCCTCTTACACCTTGAGGTCCTGTAGCTTGATTCTCACTGTGAATTAAGAGTAAAACGTAATGTTAATCTCAATACAGGTACTCAGAGCTATAAAAACCCATCTTATTGCACCTAGGAGTGTTGGCATTCATTGTTTACCATGCTCATGTTCTAATACCAAACCAATAACACAACACTTTTGGAACTAAAACTTAACTTTATAGGCTTATCTTGACATTTAGGGTGTCAGTTTTGCTCCTGTCAACCCTGGTAGTGCTCTTTAAGGCTTTAAAATGTGCGCACACATGCCTATACGCATAATAAATGAGTTGGAAGGCTGCATTTCATAAACCCAACCACCTTCTAGTCACTTTAAACAGTGAATACAGCAGTAAAGTCAGAGAGGATCCACCGTACAGCCTCGAGTTACATATTATAGCGGATAAGCTAACCACAGAAACCCAGCGGCTAACTGGCTCTGTTGTTGGTCTCAGCCATTGTTTGTCCTCTTTCCGCTTGTCGATCAGATGACCAGCAGGAAAACTTACTGTCTTAAGTAAATCTTTTTCTCCAGCGAGGCGAAACTCGACTTCACGTAGTTCGGAGACGGGTCACATGTTTGTATACTCTGTGGAAAGTTTCTAAAAAAAAACTTTTCTACAACTCTTGTACTTTTTTTTCTAGGGGGAAAAAAAAGCTTTTGTAGAAGTTTGGACCCTCTTTTTCTTTTTTAACACCCGGCTCTCGATTGCACACGACTGATTACGCCCAAAGAGCTTTCTTCGGATGTCAGTCTGCTTAATCGAGTGTTGGTTTATCGATCGACCCACTGACTTACATCAGAGGAAAGAATTCAAAGCCTTCAAACTGGTGAGTCTCAGTCAGCACTATATACCTCTAAAAATGTACTTAAACTTCAGTGAAGGTACAGAAAAGTTCGTAGAAAATGCACCAAAGCGTTAAAAGTAGAAGATCTGTTACTCATATTCAATAATCCCAAGAATTTCTGAAAAAAGGATTATTTTAAGTGGAAAATTTAGGTTTATTCATAAGAAAAGCCTTTAGTAAAATCTTTACTTTCTTTTAAAAAAAAAAAAAAGATTTTTAAATATCAGTGTAATATGTAATCAAACAATATCCTTAAGTGAATAAATGCAAAGGGTTATTAAATCATAACAGACTATTATTATAAAAGTAAATGTGAAATCCTAAAAGGGACATCCTGCCCAGGTCTTGGGGAAGATGTCCACAGTCTGACCTCACAGGTCATTTTGATCAGTACAAAACTGTCACTTATGCATAAGAATACATTTATTTACCAAATTTGATGTTGCTGTGCAACATAAATGATACATAACGCATACAGATGATTTTTGATTTATTTTAAATTCGTTAGAACATTGCCAATTAATCTCAAATTAATGGAAGACAAAAGTCAAAACTTACTATAAACTTCATTATTATTGATATTTAAATTTCTGACATACCATTGTCAAATTGCCAATCACATCAGCCTACAGTAGCAAGGAATTCTTCAGGGTGTGCAAGTGCTGACAAATAAAATATTCTTTTGGAATAATTAGGTTATTATTTCATCAGTAATCAAACAAACGTCTACTTTTAAATGTGTTATAAGCAGCATATACTTGTCAATTTATTGTTCATGCCTGAGCATGTACATTTTTTAGTTGCTCATATAGTTTATTCACCATCCCCCAGAAGATGCACACAGTGGATGATATTCTGTATGAATAAAACATTTTAAAGGAGAGAAACTGCCACATGTCAAAATCAAGGCCACCCAATTAGACCAACTGAACAAGCTTGAATTAATTTGTGGTAAGTTTCTGTTATTGATGCACAGCATACCAAGTACAACGAATCAGTTAAATTAATGTATTTAGCATATAGATTAAACAGACCTATCAGAATATAAATATATACATGTTAATGCTATGAGTGTGCTTGGTTGTCTGTCTCTAAGTGTGGCCCTGTGATAGACTGGTGACCTGTTCTGGGTGTCCCCTGCCTTCGCCCTAAGTCAGCTGGGATAGGCTCCAGCGGCCGCCGCTTTAATATACTCAGAATAAATTAATCCTGTATTTCACCCAAAATGTGAGTTTATAACCTGAATTGGCATCCTCATTGAAAAATAGTACAAAATATATATAAGCTGTATAAATTATGCTTGTTCTATTGCTATTTTGTACATTTTAACTGTAGTTGTTTTTTTAGGACATGCAGTGAACAATGTAATCTGTTACAGTCCATTTGTTTATTCTAACCCAGATAAAACATAACCTTCTTTATTCTTAATTATTAGCATGAAGAATACAAAAAATACATAAATGTCTATTTTTTTTAAATTGATGTATGAACACAATATTAAGATTTTTTTTTCTAATGTGTAAATGAAACTGGATTAAAGTCCAGGATTTCCACAAACTATACTTATGCAGATTAAGTACCTCCAGCTGGTGATCATGATAGGACAATGTATTTTAGAAACACACAGACATTAATATATATATATATATATACACAGTATATGAGTAAAATATTCCACTGAAAAAGTGATTCCATGGTGTATGTCAAAAAATGTGACAGCACTGTTTTCTGCCAGTTAGCTCAGCCTCAGCTTGTATTTTCCCTCCACTATGCCCTCATCTCTGTATGGCACCTGATATAACCTTCGGCAAACTCAAATTATGTAAAACGCTTCAGGCAAAAACATTTCATATGCAAATTGGAATGAGCCCAAGTGAGACTGCTTATCTACCCCCAACTTATCATAACCACGTTCCACTTGTCAAGATCCAGGAGGTATAATTGGTCACAAACTCTGGACTAAAGCACTAATACCACAAGTAATACGATATTAGACTATATCTATGCTTTCCAAAATAAAACCTGCAGTATAAATATTCCACTTAGTATCTGTTGCCAACATGTGAAATCATGTGATTTCCAGCAAGTCAGAAGACCTGCATTATGCAAACAAACATCTCTAAACCAACAATCACAGATTAGTCATTGTCGGTTGCAGCTGTGGGGAGCAGACAGTCAGAGGTGGTGGATGAACTGAACAGTGGTTGAATGTGGAGAAGCGTTACTGGTAAAAACTGGTACCGTTACTGAATCTGGACACCTGGAAATTCAAGAGGTGTGAGTTATGGAATGTTTTTCTAACTTTTTATGAACTCAGGTAAAGAAAAATGTATAGTATATTGTGCATCATCGCTAAAAACTTCTTTATTTTATCTTCTGAAGTTTTGATAGGATTAATCTCTAGCAGAGAGTGTACTTATTTCAAAAAGCGCCTGTTAATAAATGATCACAGTTTTAAAAGATGGTGGGGAATTTCACTGCTTCACTAATTGCGCCACATATTGATCTTTTTTTCGGCTTGGTGCCATATACATTGTGAAATCTCTCCTTATATCTGTTCCTTTTTTTTTTTTGCAGATGAGACGACAGGCCACACTTTGCCTTTTGCTACAGCTCATTTTTGAGGTAAAATGCCAAATTGTGTCTGTAGCTCTTTCAGAATGTTCACATGTATTTTAGACAGACATTATTCATTTCACAAGCACAGTGGTTCCCATCCTCATCATCTAATGTACCTCCACAGGTCTGTCAGACGCACTTCATCAGCACCCTTCTTGTTTAAATTGGTTCATTCTCTTAATTATAATAAAGCGGATTTTGCATTAATATGTTTTTTTATTCAGATGAACTGTTATGTTTAGGTCAGTTTTGTCTGAGCTGTTTGTCCATTATAATAAATTATGTATTTTAACATCCATCCATTACTGTTTTTAACATTTCCACCATTTCCATCACATTTCCATCATTTCTTATCTCTTTTAATCATCCATGCATTCCTTTGGTTGTC